CACGGGTGACAGGAATTTGGGGACAGGTGACAGGAATTTGGGGTCACGGGTGACAGGAATTTGGGGACACGGGGGTGACAGGAATTTGGGGACACGGGTGACAGGAATTTGGGGACACCGGTGACGGGAATTTGGGGACACGGGTGACAGGAATTTGGAGACACGGGTGACAGGAATTTGGGGTCACAGGTGACAGGAATTTGGGGACACGGGTGACAGGAATTTGGAGACACGGGTGACAGGAATGTGGGGTCACGGGTGACAGGAATTTGGGGACACGGGTGACAGGAATTTGGGGACACAGGGGTGACAGGAATTTGGGGACACCGGTGACAGGAATTTGGGGACACAGGTGACAGGAATTTGGGGACACGGGTGACAGGAATTTGGGGACACCGGTGACAGGAATTTGGGGACACAGGGGTGACAGGAATGTGGGGTCACAGGTGACAGGAATTTGGGGACACAGGTGACAGGAATTTGGGGACACGGGTGACAGGAATTTGGGGACACGGGGGTGACAGGAATTTGGGGACACGGGTGACAGGAATTTGGGGACACAGGTGACAGGAATGTGGGGACACAGGTGACAGGAATTTGGGGACACGGGTGACAGGAATTTGGGGACACGGGTGACAGGAATTTGGGGACACGGGGGTGGTGACAGTTTGGGGTCCCGCAGGTGGAGCCCCCCCAGGGGTTTTTCGGTGACGACACGGCGCTGAACGGCGTCCGGCTGCTCTGCGGCGCCGCCGGAGAGATCACGTCCAGCGAGGGGCCGTGAGTGACCCGGGGCCACCAAAACCCGACTGTGGCCACCAAAACCTGACTGTGGCCACCAAAACCCCACCGTGGCCACCAAAACCCCACCGCGGCCACCAAAACCCCACCGTGGCCACCAGAACCTGACTGTGGCCACCAAAACCTGACTGTGGCCACCAAAACCCGACCATGGCCAACACAACCCAACTACAGCCAACACAACCCAACCATGGCCACCACAACCCTATCATGGCCATCAAAACCCCACCATGACCAACACAACCCAACCACGGCCAACACAACCCAACCACGGCCAACACAACCCAACCACGGCCAACACAACCCAACCATGGCCACCACAACCCCTCCATGACCACCAAGACTCAACCACGGCCAACACAACCCAACCATGGCCAACACAACCCAACCATGGCCACCACAACCCAACCATGGCTAACACAACCCAGCCATGACCAACACAACCCAACCACGGCCAACACAACCCAACCATGGCCAACACAACCCAACCATGGCTAACACAACCCAGCCATGACCAACACAACCCAACCATGGCCAACACAACCCAACCACGGCCAACACAACCCAACCATGGCCAACACAACCCAACCATGGCTAACACAATCCAACCATGGCCAACACAACCCAACCACGGCCAACACAACCCAACCATGGCCAACACAACCCAACCATGGCTAACACAATCCAACCACGGCCAACACAATCCAACCACGGCCAACACAACCCAACCATGACCACCAAGACTCAACCACGGCCAACACAACCCAGCCACGGCCAACAGAACCCAACCATGGCCAACACAATCCAACCACGGCCAACGCAACCCAACCAGGGCCACCAAGATCCTTCCACGGCCACCACAACCCAATTATAAGCAACACAACCTAACCATGACCACCAAGACTCTTCCATGACCACCAGAACCCCTCCATGGCTAACACGACCCAACCATGACCAACAGAACCCTTCCATGACCACCAAGACCCTTCCATGGCCACCGCAATCCAACCACGACCACCACAACCCAACCAGGGCCACCACAACCCAACCACGGCCAACACAACCCAACCACGGCCAACTCAACCCAACCATGGCCAACACAACCCAACCATGGCCAACACAACCCAACCACAGCCAACTCAACCCAACCATGTCCAACACAACCCAACCATGTCCAACACAACCCAACCACGGCCAACACAACCCAACCACGGCCAACTCAACCCAACCATGTCCAACACAACCCAACCAGGGCCACCACAACCCAACCACGGCCAACACAACCCAACCACGGCCAACTCAACCCAACCATGTCCAACACAACCCAACCATGGCCAACACAACCCAACCACGGCCACCACAACCCAACCACGGCCACCACAACCCAACCATGGCCAACTCAACCCAACCATGTCCAACACAACCCAACCACGGCCAACGCAACCCAAACACGGCCACCACAACACAATCATGTCCAACACAACCCAACCACGACCACCACGACCCAACCAGGGCCACCCCCACCCCCAGGGATCTTCTCGGGGGGGGTTCCCCCGGCCGGACCCCCCTCCCCCGACCTGGCCGTGTCCCCGCAGGCGCGGCGCCTGGAGCCCGCCGGCGTGGTGTCCCGCCGGGCAGCACCTGGTCTCCTTCCGGCTGCGCGTGGAGGCGCCGCGCGGCCTCTGGGACGACACGGCCGCCAACGCCGCGGCCGCCCTCTGCTCGGGGGGCTCGGTGCTCCAGGCCCGCGGTGGCCCCCAGGGCTCCTGGGGCAACTGGAGCCTCCCCTGCCCGCCCGGCGCCGGCGTCTGCGGCCTCCGCAGCCGCCTGGAGCCGCCCCGGCGCGGCGGCGACGACACCGGCCTCAACGACCTGGAGCTCTTCTGCTGCGGCTGAGCCGGCGCCGGGGGCGCCTCGGGGCTCCTTGGGGCTCCTTGGGGCACCTTGGGGCACCTTGGGGCTCCTCGGGGCTCCTTGGAGCACCTTGGGGCTCCTCAGGGCTCCTTGGGGCACCTTGGGGCTCCTCAGGGCTCCTTGGGGCACCTTGAGGCTCCTCAGGGCTCCTTGAGGCTCCTCAGGGCTCCTTGGGGCACCTTGGGGCTCCTCGGGGCTCCTTGGGGCTCTTTGGGACATCCTGGGGCTCCTCAGGGGTCCTCGGGGCTCCTTGGAGCACCTTGAGGCTCCTCGGGGATCTTTGGGAATCCTTGGGGCATCTTGGGGCTTCTCGGGGCTCCTTGAGGCTCCTTGGGGCTCCTTGAGGCATCTCGGGGCTTCTCGGCGCTCCTTGGAGCACCTTGAGGCTCCTTGGGGCTCTTTTGGGACATCCTGGGGCTCCTTGGGGCATCTTGGGGCTTCCTGGAACTCCTTGGGGCACCTTGAGGCTCCTTGGGGCTCTTTGGGGCATCTTGGGGCTCCTTGGGGTTCCTTGGGGCATCTTGGGGCTCCTTGGGGCAGCTTTGGTCTCCTTGGGGCATCTCGGGGACCACCCAGGGACCCATTGACCACCCCATGGAGCATCAGGACCTCCATGGACCCCACTGGCCACCCCTTGGACCCACTGACCACCCCATGGAGCACCAGGACCTTCACTGACCCCACTGACCACCCCATGGACCCACTGACCACCCAGGGACCCACTGACCACCCCATGGACCCACTGACCACCCCATGGACCCACTGACCACCCCATGGACCCACTGACCACCAATGGACCCACTGACCACCCAGGGACCCCTCAGTGACCCCACTGACCACCCATGGACCTCCAGGGTCTTTGTGGACCCTCCTGACCACCCCATGGACCTCCAGGACCTTCACTGACTCCTCAGTGACCCCATGGGCGGGGCAATGAACAGCTTTGATTGACAGCTCTGGCCACGCCCATTTTGGCGAGTGGGACTGGGAGGGAACTGGGACAAACTGGGAGGGAACTGGGAGGGACTGGGAGGGAACTGGGAGGGAACTGGGAGGGACTGGGTTATACTGGGAGGGACTGGG